TTCGTGACATTGCTATGCGTCTTGGTTATGCAGAGATATGTTTGGGATTCGAGATATGCTAAAATATAGCTTGGAAAAATAATAATCCAACAGAGTTAGCAAATATTTTACTAAATAATCTTGAGTATTGCTAAATATCACCGTTGGTGATTGTCACCTTACCAGGATTAGGAGATTTAGCTTTCAAATTAATGATTTAATGATTAATGAACTAAACCTTTGAATTATAATTTAATAATTGTATTTATATCCCTGTAAAAACTCCGTAAAAATGAGCCTTTCACGGATCCATTCACAGAAAATGTAAATAAATCGATAAATTCCGTGATATAAGGTTATTAATTTCGGAAACATGGAATATAAAAAACGGATCGACTTTTTTACAGGGTACTATATATATATATTAATTGTCTGATCTTAATTAAGGATAACTTTCGAAGTTAATGTAAATAATGTAGTTGATGTCTATAATTGGCGATTAAGAATAATGCTCATGAAACCCGTGAAATGAAATAGTATTTATTCTATAAAATATTTTCATGAGTCAATTATGTAATTTCGCATATATATATTATCTGTGTTGCGTTAAGATTACCTCTAATTACAAGTTGCACCATACAGTAACTGAAGATATTTATTTTTCTATAATTAACAAGAAATAGTATTCAAATAGGTTACTATGGAATGACAACACAATATAGCTATGATTGTATTGTTTCAAAGAAACTACTGATATAAATGTTGTGTTTACAATACATGGACACGGCAAGCGTTCTCTTTTAAATATTTTTTCCAAAAATTTGATATATATAATACGTTGCAATTTTCAAAAAATAAAAAGCAAATAAAAGAAAATAATCTGGAGGTCTGTAAAATATTTATCCGTAATTTCTGTAAAATCTCCGTGAATACATTTACGGAAAATAACTAAAAATCTAAGCAACTTGAATAATTTTCATGTTTCGAGAATATATTTACGGAAATACGGAATAAAAAAAACCACGGAATAAACTTGTCCAACCCGGCTTCCGGGTCTCGGAATTCCGTTATAAATAATACAAATATGTACAAATAATGAAGTTCTATAATATGGAAGTTTTCGGATTGACAAGAGACTACTGACTGCATGGTGCAAAAATCGAGATATTGCAAATTTAAAAGGAAAATTTCATAATTGGACTAATATAATAGCATGTTATTCAACAAAATCAAACAATTAATTATTAATGTTGATTTAATTGAGAGCATTAATAATAAACAATAATAATGGTGCTTATTCCGCAGTAACGCTGGTCATTTGAAACTACCCGACAAAAATTTAGCTATCACGTGACCAATTTTGTAGATCATTCCCAAAAATGGCAAGCAGATTTAACAAAAAAATAAAAAAATAAGAATAAAACACAATATAAACGCCATAAATTTTTTAAACTTACATAGTATGTGTATTTTTGAACGCTCTACAAATTTACCTAGACGATAAAAATACGTTTTAAATATAAAATTTTGACTTTTTATGTGATAATTCGTAAAATAATTAATTTTACAAATTTCTGTATTCAAAACCTACCTTTATTGCCTAAGTAAACTTGCGATCAAGCAAATTTAGGCATAGTTTACGAATTTTAAAATTAGAAAATGTCTGTAGTAAGTTTTATTCAAAAAAAATAATAACAATAAATTTTTTCGTTAAATCTGCTTACCATTTTTGGGAAAGATCGACAAATAAATTGGTCACGTGATCGCTAAATTTTTGTCGGTGCCACTGGGGTAGTTGGTCATTTGATCACGTATTCGCGCATAACTCTGCCGTCGGTGTCTAAGAAATATCAATATGCTTGATTCCTTTATTATTTTATTGATCTTCGTAATATATTGGTTTTTTCCACACTTAAATAAAATAAAACAAATAGAATAAAAAGTTTTTTACTTATTTTAACGACATTTAATTCAATAAATTTATTAAATTCTGATGGTTAATTCGTGATCCGCAAATTAAGTAGATCGAAAATCGGGGTAATTATATAATAGCGCAGAATCTGACGTCATGGCAACCCAAAGTACTAATCGTTAAAATATAATATAAAAACTAAGTTTATTGCCATCAAATTATGTTATTTGGCTTACTTTTTGTTGAAAGTCCGGTAAATTTTTTGAGCACTATAAATGACTTACTTATAGGCTTAAAGGTAAAAAATGCCTTATTTTTAACGTTGCGAATAGAAAAGTTATTTCTAATTATTGAAAATTTTACCGGACTTCTAGTAAAAAGTTAGTCAAATGGTATAATTTTATGCTAATGGTTTTAGTTTTTACATCATATTTAAAAAATTCATACTTTAATTTGCCGCGTCTTCAGATTCCGCGCTATTATATATTACTATATATAACTTAACCCCGGTTTTTAATAATTAAATTCTCTACTTTTTACGCGGATCACGAATTAAGTATTATTATCGTTTAGCTTTTTTGGTTCATATTGAGAGTTAAAAAGTTTATGTATTAGTTTTAAAAAAAATTATATGTAAAAGTTTATTATATAAAAGTTTAAAAAGTTTATATAAAATGTATAAATAAGTTAAATAAGTTTATTTTAAGAGATTGTTTTATTTTTTTATTCTACTAACTTAAATTATCGTATGATCATATATGGATTATTGTATGTCTGCATAAAATAAATGGATAAGATGTTCAATATGAACCTATGTGGCTAAATGATAATTACATATTATAAAACATATAAAAAGAATAAAAGTAAAATTACATGCTGCAGAGTTAATATTGTTAAGAAAAATCTCACTAGGGTGTATGCCGAAACGCTTCCATTTGTCGTAATGCCGGAAGTTTATCCAATACCAAAAGTATACAGAATAGAACCCAAGGTAATTAGTAGTATTAAGGTCCCGCATTATTGCTTGTTCAAAACATTCAAATGCGGTTGAAAGACTAGTAAAGATTTAAATTAAGGAATATTCTCATATAAATTTAAGATATAGAAATACCAAAATTCACCCTTACCCGATCGATCGGCAAAATGATTGGATTAAATGTTTGACATATTTGCTAGTTTATTCATCACTAAATTATCAGGCAGTCTGATGACTATCACTCAATCACTGATCAAATTCGTTAAAGATTTTTACGTAATACAGTATACGTTCATTAACGCTAATTGACTATTCATTCATTAATCGTTATAATTATCATGTTTGTGGATCAGACAATACTGCTTTATATAACAGCAGTTGTATGGCAAAAAATAATTGATTATGATTTCTATATTGTTATTAATATTGAGTTCATATATACATGCATAATCATATGTTCGCTACAATAAGAAAATAAATCTCGATATAATAATAAGTGTATTGCTAAATATCACCAGTGGTGATGTTCACCAATGGTGAATTTATGATGTAATGCCGGCCAGTGTTTTATTAGATTTGTAATTCCGGCCAAAAGCATATCATAATGCTGGTATAATAATACCTATTGATATTATAATTTGGAAGTTGGAATAGAGAAGAATTTTATGACATTTCCACCACAACTGTCCAATTCAGGTCGTAATAATATTTTTTTTTTTTCTTGATCAGATTTAAAATCTCTGCCAAAATGAATTCGATCTCCGTTTTTTATTTTATAATGTCAAAATCCACAGTATTCTAATATTATTACGTAATAGTGTAATAGACTTTTTCACAGAGAGCAACCTAATTAAGATTGTCCCAGGTTTCAGAAATTTCATCAGGACTCGGGACTCATGCACTTGTATGTGTAACATTACATTATAATGCAGTCGTTATGAAGTTCTATTAATAGAACATTTTTGATGTAATGAATTAAAGTTTCACAATTCGGAAATTGCCGATTAGTGTTTGGAATCGAATATATTCGAATACACTCGAGTATTCATTTAAATTTATAAAGTGTATTCGAATAATATTCGAATAAGTTAAATTTCCTTTTATAGTAATGATTTACATAATTTTTAGCCTGAATTATGATTTTAACTCAGTTAAATTTAAGGATTTAATGCCCAATTAGAATTTTAACTATACTATATCTGGCTAAATGAATACTCGAATAACCACTATGCTTATTCGAATACTCGAATATACTCGAGTTATTCGAATAACTGTTACATGATTCCAAACACTATTGCCGATATATCATTTTTAATTTGTATTCCATGGAAAATAATGATTAAGAAGTTTATTTTTTATTTTTTTTTTGCGTTTACCCTCTTTGCCAATTGTTTTGTTTTAAAATCTAATCATGTGCAACGTATAAACACATGTTAGTCTATTATTCAATAAAAAATATTTTTATGGGAATTTCATCAGAGCATAAATATTTAATAAATGTCCATAAATTCCCACGTAGATTCATTTTTTTTTTATTAACTTTTCATAATAAAAAAGTTTTTTTTTTTCTCTGCAAGAGGCTGGAATTTTACATATTTACGCAACCAGCCACATTCGAAATATTAATTTGAACTGGATAAAAAAAAATAAAACATTTATTTTTCGTGCATGTAATGCAATATCCTAGATATTGATTTACAGTTCATTTGATTTTAATTATTAGTTGAATATCTATTTAAATTTTGTATGTATATTTAATAATATTCAAAACTTAAAGCAATCTTAGTAAAAATATTAATAAGAAAGATGTAAATAAGAATTTCTCGTTAAACTAATAAAATAATAAAGTTTGTTAAAGCTTAATTGAATTTTGTGTTAAAATCTTAGAAATTCATAATTAGTTATATAACAACACTCGAGAAATATTTACTAGTACATTACGATGAAATTCAGTTTGTGATTCCTCATGTATGATGACAACGAAAAAAAACGTAGTTAGAAAAAGAAATTCGGTTATAATAATCAGCGTTAAAATGGGTTAAAGGAATTGGAAAATATTTTTCTTTTAATCTATGCAAATTTTTTCTTACCATAATTTTACTTAATGATTTTAGCAAAAGCCAATTATATTGTGTTTATAATACGTATACGAATTTATATGAAATTATTTTGTCGAAGCTCAAAATTATTGAAATATTCTTGTTGCCAGCCCATTTGTATCTTGGTGAGTAATATGTTCATTACTTGAAAAATCACTATCATTATAATTTTGATTGCCTGCCATTGATGAAACGGTTTGTGTTATCATTTCATTATTCCCAACGTCATTTGTGCTTCTATCACAGATCATTCGGTAGAAAAGTTTATGTTTCAAGTTATGTTCAAGATTGAATTTTTTTGGTCTAAAGACAATAATTCTGTATCAAAATTTATTCCACACATTTCATTATTCAAAATGTTTTCTACTAGTGAGTATGAAAGTAACTTACAAGAAACATGATATCTTATAGTGGGATAACTTGGATGCTGGTAAAAAAATTCATGATCATAATGATTATGATCATTAAAAGAATCTTGTAAAATGATTTTACAAATTACAAGATAAAAATTGACATCATTAGGTGAAAAGTAATAAAATTTTAAATAATTTAAAACTTGTAAAATCTGCTGATGTTGCATAGTATGTGCTGCTACATCGATCACATTTCCATGGGACGTTATTGAAGATTCTTGACTTTGCGTAGTTTGTTGAATTGTGGTAGAAAAATCAAATGATTCACCAGTTTCAATGCTGGTATTATTATAAATAAGCGATTGCTGTAAATTTTCATCCATATTATTCATATTATTTTTATGTGAAATAGTGAGAACAGTTAAATGGAGAATAAAGAAAAAAAATTTTTTTTGGAAAAAAAAAAAATCCAGATATAAATAATTTGAAAAAATATTTTATACACTTTAATTGAAAAAAAAAACAAGGAGAAATATTTCCGGTGTAACGAACCGGCGTTAAGCGGAATTAAATAATTGGGAAATGATGTTTTCTACCTAGACTAATTATTTACTTACCCGTAATTCTATTATCGATTTTAGTATAGGTTACTATATATTCATACGAAAAATTAATAATAATTGAAATAAACCCGACGAATTGCAGCTTGCCTTTTCAAATCAAAAAAAGGAATATTTATCGCTTGTTTTCCTTTTTTTTTTAGTCTGCTTTTCTATCATAAGATTTTTAAATTTTTAAACTTTATTTCTTAGATCACGAGAGATATTAGAAGGGATACGTCATATGTAATAGTCATCCGCTTTGTAAAAGTTATTGGCCGACCGAAATAAAATAAACAAGCCATTTGGCGTTTTTTTTTATTAAAATTTGATATAATTAAACTTTAGATATTTATTTTACGTCATTTGGCACGTTTGCCAAAGGAAACATTTTGCTGATCTAATTGTATAATAATCACCTAAGTATAGAAATGTCTATCATAGAATACAATAAGTCCTACTTCATATTGTTTTATCGCTCCGGTTTAAATAAAATTTCGATAATTATAGGACCAAATAAAAATCTTAAAAAGGTGAAATAAAAAAAATCTTAAAAGGTGTAAATTTTAAAAAGATATACCTATTACATAAGCGTGAAATTTCTGAAACCTGTAATTTGGATATATCTCTAGTACTTATTCTCCACGACTCCGCGTGCACAAAGTCGATCTTTAACAGTTCACCTGCATATTAATAATCTTAATACATAATGTAAAAATGCGAAGTTACGTAATTACTCTGAAAATATTAACTTTGAAAAACCCTATCTTTAGAATGAATGCCCATGAAACCATGTGAAAAAACCATCGCATTTTGATCACGTGAATATTGAATTATGCAAATCGATTTCCAAATTCGATTATAAAAATTTGACTAGTTTACGATTAATTCTTCTTTGATGTTACTTTATATTTACCCTTTTTTTAGTAGCAAAACACTTAAAATTCGGACGTTTTAATTAATCTATCTAAAATCTATTTTTTTTCTTGATAATCATCGCCATTAAAGTTTCACAGAGCAATGTCAAATTTAAAAATTCATTTCACGCGTCTTGGAGATAGCATGCTAGCACGAAAAGGCAATGTATTTATTTATTTATTTATTTATTTTTGTTTACACAATACGATTGAGTTCAAATTAATATTTAGAATTTTTTTGGGAATTTTACATAAAAGTTTATCAAAAAAGATGAAAAATTGATATAAAATGAAGTACGTCAAAATTATACTTTAGGTCCGGACGAAAATCTGATCTTAAAAAGTCCTATCCAATAGAATTTCAGAAATGATAAGATTTATAACAAATATGCCGATATGCTACTGAATATACCAATATTTATTAAAAATTCTAAAATGTACCATGTAACAATGAGTGGTATTTTAACAGCTCAGATGGCACGTTTGTTCTGTATTTATTCTGTATTTACTAATTTACAGCATTATTTAAAATTTTTGTAAATATACAGTATTAAGTCTTTAGTATATAGTTTTGAATTGATGCAACACTAATAAGATAATTTTATATTATTTGACAATAAAAGAATTAATGAAAAAAAGCATTAAGAATTCTTCTAAAATTTCATTTGGGTACAAAAAAAAACATACTCTTGTTATTATTAAATTATAAAAATAAATGAAATTTCATTTTTATGCAACAAAATTTATAAATAATTTAGCCCAAGACCAGATCCTGGGATCAGGTCCAGGTCTGGACTTAATAAAACCTAAATTCTAGGACTCATTCTCTTAGGACCTGGTCCTCCATTCAATAGGACTTATCACACGACTTAGTATATTTTTCGTCCTGAGCATTTTAAAGTAAAATTTTAATCTATTTGATCGATTTAATTAATAAGACAACTAGACTTTTTAAAAAAGAATTATTGAGCATTCTTTTTATCAAAAACTGTAAAATGATCAACGTTCGTATCTTTTTCAACTGGTAAGACCTTTCTTTCTAAATACAATTTAAATGATTTAATTATTTGTTGTCATGTTTATGAAAATACAAAAAAGATTACTTTGTTTCGTGGTAATACTAAAAAGGAAAAAATATTATAGGTACTATATTTTATTAGGTGATTTCGTACCGTAATTGGAGAAAGCAATACCGGCTAAAGTTTCATACCTAAAAAACAACAAAGCACAATATCGTAACAAAATACACAAGAACAAATAAATAACACCTCAAAGCACAATACCGTAACAAATACACAAGAACATACCGTAACCAAATAAATAACACCTGCACGCGATTATAGTGAAATATTTGTCATAATGTATCGTATGTGAAACCTATTTGTCACGCCCTTATATAGTCTTTTTCGAGTATTCAGTCGGTTTATGATAGTCGAGTCAATTGACTTGGTCGATCAAGAACGAGGTTTTTTTTATTGGTAACTTAATTTGTAGCAGTCGATCCAAAAAGTTAAGTTCGTCCATATTAGCTTTATGTAGACGTTGTTTTTTTATCTAAATTGGACCACTGGTTGCTTTGTTCTTAGTTTTATATGTTTTTACTAGTACTTGACAATAGAAAGTTAAAAATTACACTTTTTTTTTGAGATCTCAATAAAAATTTTAAATATTTTTATTTAAACTGTCTAAAAATAGCATTTTCTTCTTTTATTGTATATTATTTTTATGTATTTAATAAAATTTCATATAGTTTTGAGGTATTTCAAAGCCGATCAAGTTTTTTAAAGATAGCTTTGACAAATATTGTATTTTCACATGATTATTGCCGATCTTTCATCTTAAACATGGGTTATTAGTTATTGTTGATCAGCCTGTGTAACCTATGAGCAGTGATGTGCATTTGTACTTCCAATGACATAAAAATTTGGTTGGAAGCTTCCAATCCAAATGGTTTTATTAGAAAATTATGCTTCCAATCTTTCCAAAGGTGCTTCCAATAGTGCTTCCAATATTCCAAGAGCACATCACTGCCTATGAGTTGGCCCCCGTTTATTTATCTAACCCCTAGTTACGAGACAAATTTGAAAGGAAGATTTCATAATTGAACTAATATCATGGTATTCAACAAAATCAAATGATTAATACCGATGAGTGTATTAATGTTGATTAGTTGAGACTTGAGAGCACTTAATAATAAACAATAATAATAATAAACGAGGTGCTATCAGGTCTATTTGTTCTACAGTAACGCTGGCCGTTTGATCACGTGTTCGTGCATAACTCTGCATAACTCCGGCCAAATCTGTCCGGCAAATGTCCTAACCAATAATATTTGTGTAATAATGCTAAGAAATATCAATCAATATGCTTGATTTGATACCCCTTTATTCTTCGTAATATATTGATTTTTTTCACACTTAAATAAAATGAAACGCAATTTAAAAAATTAGGATTAAATTTAATAAATTTGTTAAATTCTGATAGTTTAAGTATTATTATAAACATATAAAAGAATAAAAAGTAAAAATAGAGTTACCTTCAAAACATTCAAATGCAGTTGAAAGGCTAGTAAAGCTTTAGCCATGAAAAAAAAATTAATATAGTACTAGTAGCATAAACGGTTAAGATTTTACGTAATACAATATACGTTCATTAACCGTTAATTGACTTAATTGTTATAATTACCATGTTGTGGATCAGAACAATACTGCTGTTGTATGGCAAAATTTTAAAGGACCGTCCAAACTGGCCACTAATTATAAAGTAAATAATTAATTATGATTTCTATATTGTTATTAATATTGAGTTCATATATGCATGCATAATCGTAATGTTCGCTAATAAAATCTCGATATAAACTTTTATAATAATACCTATAGATATTACTTTACTATCAATATATGTTTTTTTGATAGTATATTACCCTATAAAAAAAGAAAATTCAGAATTTGTCCTGAAAAGTATGGAAAATATCCAGAAATTTTCGGAAACAGTCATGTTTTGGAACACTTTCCAGATGTACAAATTCCAGACATTTTCTTGACACTCCAGAATTTGTCCAGAATTTGTCCAGAATTGAGCGTCCAGAAAATGTTCCAAAATATGACTGTTTCCAAATATTTTCCGGATGCACGGAAAATTTCTGGACATTTTCCATACTTTTCAGGACAAATTCTGAATTTTCTTTTTTATAGGGTTACAATTCTTTTATTATATTATTATCATGGATTTTGATATGGTTGTGAAGATATCATGCATAAGGTTGCTTGCCGAAACCTAGGGGTTTAGGCAAGATGGCATTTCGCCGAAAAGCGAAATTCTGCCGAAACTATATTAAAGTTATATTAAAAAACTGGCGAAACTTTGGAGAAAGATGAAACTGCCGAAACTTATTATAAATGCTGAAACTGCCGAAACTCTGCCAAAACTATAATAAATCTATAGTAACTAATCGAAGGATTTTGAAGAGGTTTAGACAAGCAACCTTAATCATACATAACAATATGGTTATTGACGCAGTATTTTACATGGCTAACTCATAATATTAATATATTTCATTACAAAAGAATATTTGTCATACATTACATAATTATTGATTTTTTCATTTTAAATTAAATTAATTAATTAGTCATTTTAATATATATGTTAATATTATATTAAGCATATCAAATATTATTACAATATTCATATTAAATTTACATCAAATAAAGCATTACATAAAGCATTACACTAAGTATACTATATTCATTACTTTATCTTAAAAATTAGTCTATGAAATTTGAGATGCAATAACTCATGAACAATCTGCCTATTCTATACGAAACTCTATAGTTACCTAGTTTGCGATCAGTGCTTCTATACAAGCCTAAAATCGCAAAAAATGGATAATTAGATCCTGAGATATTTGTATTCATAGTCGGCCAAA